CCAACCCATTTCACACCAAGCATCAAGATCAAGAATCTCGTGGAGAGGCCTTTCCGTTCTGTAAATACTCCTCAAGTCATTGTCCCTGCTGGTAATTAACCTTGGCTGTCATAATTTGCACGATCTCTCTGTGCGTGTGCGGGGTCAATGGATTTAAGCCCCCAAAACTACAGCGATCGTAGTGTCTAAAACGTGTTATCCGCGTCTTTGCAGCTTCTTGGAAATTTTCTTTACTGCCGGCGACGAGTCATAATGGAACTGGAACCGCACCATCATCATGGAATTCCAATTCCAAATATATTTCCACAGCAGCTGATGTGGGAGATTCTTATTTAGCATGTTTTGTTTTGTTTTGTTTTTTCAAATTTTATACTCAAGTTTGATCATTATAAATATGAAAACTTGGATACGTATCTGATGTTAAAGACGTCATTCGTGTCCACGCCTCTCAATTAATCGACGTTTCAAAATTCATCAAGCGTTTAGACAGGAACACAAGCCGCTCCCCGCTCACCCGGTTATTAGAATTATCAGTCATAGTTCATTGGCAGATTCATTCATGGGGGGTGGCAATCCTCTCGCCGTGTCTCTTTTTCTTTTCATATGACCAAAAAAAAGAAAAAAGAAAGCGGTCTCATTCGAATTTGGTTGTTTGGACTTTGGAAGGGGAAGGGAGGCATTGGCTTGGAATTGAAACCTGAGGGACAAGACTGATAAATGGGCGGAGACAGACAAATAGTCAAAAGGAGCGTTTTTGGTGTATATTGTTGAATTTGGTGGATAATCGTGGGGCCCACCTAGCACAAAACTCTCCCATCCTCCAAAAAGCAAGCGCCTAATACAACAAGAAAGATAGCCCACCGCCCGGTCAACATCACAAATTAAAGCCACATCATTAATCTAATCCTTCTTTGTCCCAAAAAACAGAAATTCTAAGCCTTCGTTATAATTACAATTCTGTGCGCAAGCGTTTCACAAGGATGACGAAGGCGCCAGTTGTGTGTTTTTTGATCTCACTCTGAGTCTCCTATGTTGAGAAAATATTTTTACGTTTGCATCCAATCCAAACGGGTCAACGGCCTACTATTTACATGCACTCCATATTCATGTCACTTATTCTAATTTTTATGGGATTCAAATAAATTGATAAAATGAAATAAATTTGGCATTGGTAATGAGTCTCCAAACAATACTTTTTTATGATAAAAACGGATTTGCAAATAGTGACGTTTTATCTCGTGTGTTCAACTGACTTGAAAGAAAACGCAAGTGGTTGTCCTCATCATTAGGGGTGAGAAGGGAGTAGGGCCTTCTCCCTAGCTTATTTACTTATAATCCTGACTTATTTATTAAATAAATTTAAATTAAATTTAAATTTTTAATTAAATTTATCTAGTTAAATAGATCAGGTCAAACTTACGAGCTCAACATACCAGCTTATTTATATACACATATTATATAATATATTATACTCAATAGTTTCATAATTTAATTTTTAATCAATTTATTTTTTCATTTTTAGTTATATTTTTAATTAAATTAGACTTATATATTGATTTTAATATTTTTACTTTATTATTATATTATAGTTAATAAGTCATTTTAATTATTATATGTTATAATTGATAAATCATGTTATATATTTATATTAATAGTTTTAAAGTATATTTCAAACGTTTAAAATTAAACTTACGAACCCAACATACCAGCTTATTTACACACACATATTATATAATATATTATACTCATTAGTTTCATAATTTAATTTTTAATCAATCTATTTTTTTCATTTTAGTTTATATTTTTAGTTAAATTAGACTTATATATTAATTTTAATATTATTACTTTATTATTATATTGTAGTTAATAAGTCATTTTAATTATTATATATTATAATTGATAAATTATTTTATATATTTATATTAATAGTTTTAAAGTATATTTCAGACGTTTAAAATTAAAATATGAGTTTATTTAAAAAATTTATTTTTAAATAAATTTTTAAATAAATTTTTGAGGTAAATTAAATTTTAAGTAATTTCAAGCTTGAATTGTGAAAAAAATTTTATATAAATTTTAGATTAGTTTCAAATTTTTAACTTATCTCACATCCACAGGCTTATTTAATTAAAGTTTAACTTGATTTAATATATTTTCACTCCTGATCATCATGGTAGGGGGTGTCTCGTGATGTATGCGATGCAAGTTGTCCACGCCATTTATGTGGGCCCAAGAGAGATTATCAGTCCCCGTATGAAAAAAAGCAAAGAGGGCCGGGGGGGGGGGAACAGAGCGGAAAAACAGTAACATGATAAAATTGATGAAAATGATCCTATAAGAGTGAAAGTTTAATCAGCTAAATCAGAACCCCCGCCCTTGTGAATCTCGCCAGCGGTTCCTCACCTCGATAAAATTCTTTGTTAAAGAATCTTAAACGTCAAATCCAATGGCGATGGAAATGGAACCTAATTACCGAAGAGACGAGACTTTAAAAAAAAAAATCAATTTTTGTTCGGCTGAGGTATGAACTTTGGCCTTTGACTGTGAGGCGAATCTGTTGACGGTGGTTAGAACTTAGAAATCTCGTTTTACAGAAGATAAAAGGAGAGGGAAAATAAAAAAAATGTAAAAAGTAAAAAGTAAAAACAGAGAGAGAGGGGGGGGGGGGAGAGAGAGCGCAGAAGGAAAGAAAGCGTCACCGTCCATTACCTAACACGGCCACGACGGGCAAAACGCATTTGGAAGACAAGAAAGGGTATATAAATATCTAAAACTGCGTTCACACTTGAAACTTGCGATCTCTTTTCCAAATCACATTTTGACTTTTGTCGGCCTCTCCCTCTTCATGCCATACCTTCACAATTTGCATCCTTTGTATCATATTCCCTCCGTTTTTTAACAACTGACGAATAAGTGAAACTTGAAGACCAAGAAATTAAATACTCCTTCCCTCTTTTATCATAAGCATTTTTTTTAAAGTATTCCTCAGTCTTTAATATAAAAAATCATTAAAAATTATTAATTATGCTTTTTTGATATTATTCATATTTAAACCTATTAACTATGAGAGATAATGTAATATAATTTAAAAAAAATTTATTTGAATAAAGATATTGTTAAAAGTTTGTTATATTTTTAAATAAAGTTAATAACTTAACTGTCTCTTCTTGATTTTAATAAGATTGTTGGAAATATTTTATAATAGAAATATGGAAGATTATGTTGAAATAAGCTAAACTTCTTAAATATCTTACAAAGCTTAATATTTTTTTAAAAAATATTTGTACAAAACATTTGATAGAGTGATTTAGTAAGGGTTAAAATATAAATCTATTCTCGAAGTTTTGAACCAAACGCATCCCATATCCTAAAAAGTATTTTTTGACACAATTTTGCTCAAACATTTTTTTATTTAACTACAGTGTCGCCCTATTGTAACCTGTTAATTGGTTTGATTCTTATCTCTAAAATTTTGACCATCCTAAACTTCCTCCATCCCTTTACAAAACTTGAAACTTAGTATAGTGCGATAGGCTGGACACAATCAAAAATTAAAGCTAAGTACATTTCTTACGCCACTTACCTTAAGAACACCGTCACAACCTTAAACTACTTCATTCATGATAAGTTCACAATTCTTAAATGATTTTTGTCACTACTGCAAAGACTAAACACATTTAACTTAATGTCCCCATAGACTAAGCATGTACCTCTCTATTTATTGTCATTACTGTAAAAAAGCGAGCGATTTAATTTGATGTTTGATTAATAATTTTTTTATATAATATTCATATGATAACCAATCAATCTCTATAGAATTTCACTTGAAAATTTTTTGGTCCACGTTAGAGAGAAGTGGTCAATTCTTGCTTAAATATCAACTAAACGATCGAATATTTTAAGAAATTTGATGGATTGATCATTTTAGCACCAATTTTAATAATATCATGGCTGTTTTTATCCTTTTTTCAGTCTACGTTGGCAACAATTGACATGTGGTAAGCACAGTAAGTATTTAACGGTAAAAATTAATGGTGTCAAAATAAAGTTAATAGTTTGGTCATTTTTATACCAACTCTGATAATATTATAGGTATTTTTATCTTTTTTCTTGTTTTAAACTACTAGATATCCTTAATTGATCACTTTGTAAGTATTTTTTCCCTTTATCCTTTTGAAAAATAAAATAATAAGGACTAAAATTATTCCCTAAAACTTTGAGACTAATGTTTTAAATTATTAAAACCATGGAGAAACTAAATTACAATGAACTAATTAGGAATTCAAGTCAACATTTTAAAGATCATGTTTGCACCAAATTTAAATTCAAAAATTGAGTTATAATTAAATTAAAATATGTGAATCAAATAATTGATTTTTTATTATTTTTATAATTTTAACTTGATTAAAAATAAGTATATGTGAACTAGGTTATTGACTCACACTTTACCAAAAAAAAAGTTTTTGATCTATGACTCATTGCATTTCAATTCCTATAATCTCGACTCGATTAAACTTATTATTTGAATTTTAACTTGAAGTAATTTAATTTTTATAATTTTAATTATTAAAATGTTAATATCTACCTTTTAAAAAAAGTTGTAAAATTTAAAGTTATTTTTTAAATATTAAATATCAATTTTTTAATTAGTTAATTTGTCGACTTATTTCTTGTGTTAATTTTCTCGCTTGAAAAAAGTAATATCCAGTGGAGGCGGAACAGATTCACACGCAAACTCAAACCAAGCAATAAATTAAATAATTAATAGTAGAGTGCCCCGTTTTTTTTTTTTTTTAGGGTACATCCTCTTATTTCTTTCTCCCTGGTATTAATTCACAAGCCTTGTTGACAATTAATTATTAATTAAGTACTCTGTATTCCAAAAACTTAATTTAATAGTCTTGGTCTTTTGCAAGTAAACCATTCACGGCCAAATATTAAATTATTAAATGAATTTCCCAGGCCAGTATAAAAGTAGAGTAAAAAGCCCTAGCATCCGGGATTTCTCAATTTTCAATATCTCCATTCACACTACTGTTTCCCAAAATAAAAAATCATAAGCTCCGAATCCAAACTCAGCCAGGAAGACGACCTTCTGCTTTCCGAGTTCTCTGCGCCCCTCTCGTTCGTCTCTGCGTATCGGCTTCCATTTTTATCTGTATGAAACTCCCAACTTTCGCAGACCCAGACTCCCTCTCCCACATTTTCAGCTTGCTCCAGAGCTCCTTTGATCAAATGAATGAGACCAACAGCAGCGCCACCAGAAAACGACGCAGAAAAAATGACAAACCTGGAGGTGGCGATGATGGTTCAATCCAGAACCAAGGGACTAAGAAGAAAGAATTAACAGGTATTCTTACTTCGCTGCTATTGCTGGAAGAACAACAGAAGCGTGACCAGGAAGAGCTTGACAGAGTCTCCGAGGAGGAGAAGCTGTCCTTAGAGGCCAACCACAAGAAGAAGACCAAGGTCATGCTGGAATACTACACCAATCTTCAGGGTTATTACGACGATGTCGAAGAATCGGAGCGAATTAAGAGAAACAAATCGCGGGCCATGACCGGTGCGGCGGCCGTCGCTGCGGTATCCGATGGGTTAGAACAGATTCATACGGATAACGTACTGAAAGCTGGAGCAGGTGGTGGATCCCAGAGCCACCAGCGGCGCCTGTGGGTGAAGGACCGTTCCGGAGCATGGTGGGACGAATGTAACAGGCCGGATTTTCCGGAAGACGAGTTCAGGAAAGCGTTTAGAATGGGGAGGGCTACCTTTGATATGATTTGTGAGGAGCTTAATTCGATTATCGCGAAAGAAGATACGACGTTGAGAAACGCTATCCCTGTGAGGCAAAGAGTAGCTGTTTGTTTATGGAGGCTAGCCACCGGTGACCCTCTTCGTCTTGTGTCCAAAAGGTTCGGATTGGGCATATCAACTTGCCATAAGCTGGTTCTTGAGGTATGCACAGCCATAAAGTCCGTGATGATGCCTAAGTATTTACAGTGGCCCGATGAGGCGACATTGAGGAATATCAAAAGTGAATTTGAATCGATTTCTGGGATACCCAATGTGGTGGGGTCTATGTACACCTCACATATCCCCATTATAGCTCCCAAGATTAGTGTGGCTGCTTATTTCAATAAAAGGCATACAGAAAGGAATCAGAAGACTTCGTATTCAATTACAGTTCAAGGTGTGGTTGACCCAAGAGGGGTGTTTACAGATGTGTGCATTGGTTGGCCTGGTTCGATGCCTGATGATCAGGTGTTAGAGAAGTCTGCACTTTATAAAAGGGCCGAGAAGGGGCTTCTAAAAGGCGTGTGGATCGTTGGCAGTTCAGGATACCCTTTAATGGATTGGGTTTTAGTGCCTTATACTCAGCAGCATCTTACTTGGACACAGCATGCATTCAACGAGAAGATTGGAGAGGTTCAGAAGGTTGCAAAAGATGCATTTGCGAGATTGAAAGGAAGGTGGTGTTGCTTGCAGAAGAGGACTGAGGTAAAACTGCAAGATTTGCCTGTTGTTCTTGGGGCATGCTGTGTGCTGCACAATATATGTGAATTGAGGAATGAAGAAATGGATCCCGAACTGAAGTTTGAACTTGTAGATGATGAAATGGTGCCAGAGGCTGCCTTAAGATCACCAAGCTCCATGAAAGCTAGGGATGCAATTGCTCATAATCTCTTGCACCATGGTCTCGCAGGCACTTCTTTTGTTTAGCTGAAAGATTGTATTTGACTATGTGATACTCGACTATAATTCTTTTGCTTGTTCCCATAGACTATATTGAAGCCGTTCATCTTATTTGCTGAAGGGACTCTGTAAAAGATATATTGGCCCCTTCAACAAATATATGATCGTACTCTTCATAAGTTCAAGTTATAAGATTCACAGAATTGTAACTTAGTTCCATACTTTAACCCCCAAAATAAGATATTAGTGAGTGAAATCACAATATCTGTTGCAGCATCCCTTTTCTTCTCATCAGTTCTCTTGATGTCAAAATAGTTTATGAGCATGGGCAATGATACTTTTTTCTGTTCCTGTGAACTTAATTCTTGCATGCCAACAACTGTTCTAGTATGCTTCATGTGTTTAGAAACTCCTCGTCTGTGTTGATTTCGAGCAAGTCATTCATGGATTGACAGAAGAATAATACAGATAATGAGCAAAAGCCCGCCTTATAATGACGTATTCTTGAGAGTAGATTGTACCAGTCAAATGTCAGGAAAATGAATGATTGACCTTTAAATCAGTAACCTTTCTAGAACCAGCTTTACTTGATGACCTTGAAGATCTTTGAATATGATCAGAGCCAATTGTGGCCAATCTTTGTTAAGGATCTTGGCTTGTCTACTTGTGCATAATGTTGTTTTTCTGAAGCTGATGTGGTGATTGGTTCATATTTTAGCAAGCCTGCTCTTAATCGTCTCAAGTGATTTTGAGTCTTCTCAACCCTAAACTTCTTAGTATTTGTTCTGCTGTTCTACATATTCACGTCGTAGTTCACACAACTAAATAAGAATAGTGCAGAAAACTGTGCTTCAAGCAGCGATAACAGGTAAGTGCAGGTAAATGCAGGTCATTTGAACTTTCAAGGAGATTTGCTTGTAAATGCAGGGCATTTGAAGCCTCCTCTGAGCTAAGCGGCGTGTTCTGGTTTTCTGGGTTGACTCTGTAAGCAGCATGAAAATGAGAAATCACCGTCTTCAGTTATTCCAACCAGTTTCAAAGTTATTATCGTGATTAGGGCAGGTTTTGTCGGAGCATCGAAGCGAAAGCGGAAACAAACAAAAGATAAAAAGGAATGACAAGCTTTGATTCCACCATTATAATTTTAATTTAAAAGGGAAGATTAATTAAAAAGGACTCCTCAATGTTGGTGCTTCTCAGAGTTCACACCTCCCCTGGTAATCGCCACACGACACTCACAAATTAATTGTTTCTTGTAAAATTTTGTTATCTAATTTTATTATTGTTAATCACTTTTGTGACACATTAGGTTTTGATAATCTGTTGAGGTATGAGATAGCTGGTGACATTTAAAATTATATTTTTAAGTATTCAAATGAGTCAAAATTGAACAAATTGAATATGTTTATTGTTTGTTTATGAGTAATATGGAGGCATGAAAATTAAGATTATATTTGGTTGGAGAGGAGGAGAGAAAAAAGGAGGGAGAAGGAGAGAGGGGGGATCCCTCCCATTTGAATTTTGAGGGGGAGGGTTTGGAGGAAGGGGAGGAAAATTTTAAAAAAATTTCCTTCCCTTCCTTCCAACTAAACAAACTCTGAAAAGTGAAAGCATCATCTCCTTAAGCCAAGAATAGTCAAAAAAGATTTGAATAACAACTATTGAGGTATCAAATAAATGATGACCTTTAAAATAAGTTTTTTAGTATTCAAATGAATTAAAATTGAACAAATTGAATATGTTTATTGTTTGTTTACGGGTAATATGGAGGTATGAAGATTGAAAGGTTGAAAAATCATTTCCTTAAACCAAGAATAGTCAACAAAATTTGAATAACAACCATGGGAGATTTGACAAACGGAATTAATTGATAACGAGTTAAGAATTTTAAATGACAAAGTCATTCTCCAAAAACGACAACCACCGAGTTTGATTTGGGCTGTCAACTTGAACTACAACGTTGATATATTAAACCCCAAGTTCACCTGTTCTCACAGGCACCTTGCATGCCTGGCCCAAAGAGTCATTTCATCCTTACATTATTTTTTGCTTATGAGATCATTGGTAATGTCAACGGCAAGTTGGAAGATCTGTCTCTGCTCCTATCATTCATAGTCAACTAGCTTTTAAAAAAAAGAAAATGACATACGTTTTGTTTTTTAATGCACATATTTTAAATTTCATTATGTGCCATTTGCAAATTTTTCCCAATAACTAAAAGAATTGATATTTCATTGAAATTATAAAATGGTAATTATTTTATATCAAAATTGAAACTTTATAAGAGGAAGATATTAATAATTATAAAATGATAATATTTTATAACAAAATCCCCTCCATTGATAACGGAGGAGTATTTTTGCTTATCTAAAAAATAATTTATGAAAAAATATCTCACTTATTAGTATAAGATGCCCAGTGCTTTTCAAAAGAAAATACATGAAAAGAAATGCACTTTAACTCTATAATATATTATTTTAATCAGCAAAATCAGATAATAAAAAACCAAATAATAATTGTTTTTTCATTCTTAAGTTCCCCAACTTCAAGCATAGAAGCACACTGCCAAATCGTAATCCAAGAATCCAGGTATGTAATCTCTGTACTTCAAGGACCTAAAAAATAGGACATTTTATACAACTCTTTCAAAGCAAAGGTTGGTTCTTCAATCTTTACATTTTGAGAAATGAGTGATACGGTCTACGTCATCTTTAATACACTTTATTTCATTCGTCTCTAACAGACTTTCTCGTAAAAGCCCTGAACTTACTGGACATACTAACATTGACAGTAAATGAGAGCTCGTGAAATTGACAAAACATGTATTTCCAAGAATGTGAACTCAAAGAGTGTCTTTTCAAGTTTTAAACAAAATTTACATGTAAATGACGAAAAGTTCAGCAGGGGATTCATGCAAATCTGCCCCTGCAACAGTAGCTTACCTCGCACGGCTTCCATGGCAGTGAGAGCAAATCTGGGATTCATGTACTCCACAAAACACAAAGCCATAGCATTATCTCCACTCTGCAAAATGCTTTTTAACTTTAAGAACTATCAAACGTGCATAATAATAAATCAGAATAAGGGACATTCTATAAATTAACATCTATAGTGTAACATTATTAAAGGCCAGTACTATTAACATGTCGATTTAATGAACCAGAGACAGCCGCAAAGGCGTATGCTGATGAAAAACCATAGAAAATATTCCCATATCAGAATTCCACCCACCGACAAACAAAATATTGGATTCCCCAGCTGTATCTGATCTAAGATCGTCAAAATTGCTTTTGATATTGGCCTGCCATTATTCATATCAGCAGCACGCCTGGGTTATTATTACCCAGTGGATACTTGCTTTTGACCCGCTATATATCAGGATCTTCAAGAGATGGAATGGCCAGCCCCAGTTGTAACATGTAACAGTATTAATGGCAGGTTCAGAATGAATTCTTTTTTTTTTTTTTTGGGGTGGGCTAAAGAGATGATTCATTCCTCAGGATAGAGGATACAAACAAGAGAAACTAAGTCAGCAGTTTCTGTTTCTCATCATCCACCGCCTTCTGACAAAAAGAGGGTGGTTGATCGAGAGAGTGGAAATCACCAATACAGTTAGAAGCATTTGCAGCCAAATAATGAGCATAAAAATTTGCTTCCCTATACATGAACTCTAAGGACACACACCAGTTCCCACACAAAAAGAACCTAGCTTGCTCAATAATATCACTGCAGGGACGAAGCTCGTAGTTGTCTCTGAAGATGAGGTTAATTGCTTCAATACAATCAATAAAAATTCTTACCCTTTGAAAACCATTCATCCAGCACAAATTAAGTCCTTGTAGAATGGCAATCACTTCGGTAATGGTCGGTGGAAAATTCCCAACATTTAAGTTGAAGTCCAATACCCGGTCTGCATTGCTGTCACATGTTAGAGGGTAAGAGAATATAATGAAAAAAAAAATATTGAAAAAAAACATAATTAATGAAACTTTATTTTTATTAAAATATCTTATATTTTGATACGCCAAATATCCTTTAAAAGTATAATTTAACTTGGGATGAAGGAGTACTTCAAAAATTAATTATTAAAAATTTTCAAATTATCATGAGTAAATTAGCTCAATGACTTCAAAAAATACAGTTTTCATAAATTATAGATGAGATTTTTGAATATTTTAAAATATAGCTTATTCATAAAATCAATTAGATATTAGTTTTTTTTATCCTCAGAATAAATATATTATTAAAACATAATATATCTCCTATAACTAATCTTTAACTAACTGAATTGTGCCTTCACAATTGTTTTTTTTTTTATCATAGAGGAGAGAAGTCTCATGGCTTTTCTTTTCTCTCCCTCTCTGTTTTTTTCAGGTATATTACAAAGTTGAGATTTGACATTGAAAACTAAACTCTATCATCAAATTATGCATTCTACATTGCATAGTTCAAGATTCGGATTGAAGTTGTCCTGTATTTTATTTTATGGAAGTTAAAGAGTATTATCTATTATCGAATTTTCATCATCTTCATTTATTTGGGTAATATTTTTATTGAATCAATAAATCAATTGTTCATAATTCGTTATTTGTTGTCATTGGTTGATCATGAAATTTGTTTGAATTACTAACAAAAAACACATATTATTCTCCTATTGGTCATGGTTTTTTATTTTATTATTTTAGATATTTGATTTTTTTCGTGATAAGCTAGAGTGTTTAGAATTTTTTACGAACCTAGTTTGATTTGTTTTGGGAAAATAATTATGTTGTTTTCATGTTTAATTTCTAATTTACAATAATATATAAGTGATATACAATAGTATAATCATTGATATACTCTTGCAGATTAACATAATCAGATAATCAGACATAAATTTATTTATTATTGAGATACATCTGTATATCAATAGTGTAGTATCGCGTATTAGTAACATGAAAAACATATAATTATTTATCCAAAATGAATCAAACATAGTTTGCAAAAAATTCTGTAGCTCTGTTTCCCTATCGGCTGCTCCGTTTTATTGATTACCATTGATGTCTCTCACCTCATGTTTGTCTCTCGCTGTCATGACTATGGCTTGCTCACACTACTCTGCTTTCTTCTGTCTTCGAGTTGATCTACTTATTTCTTCCATCGTGACTGTAGCTTGTGTCTGTCTTTCTCGATCGTTTGATTTCTTGTATTTTGAGTCTGTTTTGGTATTTGCAAAAAGCAAAGTGTTATAATTTTAAAAGGAAAATTTTGTAAATTACATAT